GGAGGGAGGGAAACACGGATGTCAGGGAGAGACATCGATCCTCGACAGGACTGGGGATGGAACCTGCAACCCAGATACTGCCCCTGACCGGGAACTGAACCCACGAACCTTCAGTCGGAGGAACAATGCTGTAACCACTGAGCACACCAGCCAGGGCAAAATTTAGTTAACTTTTTAAAATTACATGATCTTATGATACAAAATTTATATAACATATATCTATATTTATATACTTCAATGATGTTCCCTGTCAGGTCCCACCTTCTGTTGCTGAGAAAACATCTTTTCAAGTCGCTGTTTTGTGCCCTCAACACCTCCAATTCCTCATGGAGAAACGGCACTTTTTGTACTGAGTTAAATTATGACCCTGATTATGTTGATCTCTCAGCACACAGGCTAATTACATAAAACAGGCCATTGCGGGGAAAGTAGCCCGTGCCCTGGGGTAGGAATGAATACACTATGTGTTCAAGCTGCCTCCTGTGCTTTGGAAAGAGAAGTCAGACTTATGCCCTGAGAGTCAGGTGCACACGTACACTCCTCCAACACCGTGTTGAGGAGTCCTGAACCCACTCACAACCAACCATGACTTTTGTCTCGTCAGCAGAAAGGAATCTTAAGAAGTGTGTCAGCTCAATTAAACCTCTAAAATATGGCAAAAAGAAACGTTCACGAAGGAAGGACTAGTTTGGTTTTAATCAAGAATGACAACATCCTTCACCTATTTTCCCAGTCAAATGACTAAAATACAGACTACCTGTGAGGTCCAGCAGCTGTAGAAGCAAACCCCCATTAAACTGTGAGTTTCTTAAAAATACTTCTTAAAACACAAAATGTGCTGCTGGCAGAAAAGAGCACCTGTTCTCGTCAACAAGAAACACAGAAGTTTCAGAACCACGAACTTCACCTTCCGCAGCCGGTGACTGATCTCGACGATAGAGGCCGCCATCAGCGTGGAAAGCACGCCGTGGTGAACGGGCGTGTCCACGTGCCAAGACTGCACGGTTGTTATAAACTCGTGCAGTGGGTTCTGAACAGAGTACAGGAGCTACGAGAAAGCACATCGGTAGTTCAGTGGTTAGAGAAAAGGCACTTCACGAGTGAGCATCCCCACTGTCCTCCCCCAGGTGCAGGAGTTGCTCCCCGAGTCTGCCCTTGGTTGACACCCACCTCCCCTTCCTGCTGCAGACTCAAATCGCTCAGTACCATGGCTATAGAATGACAGAAGCCCACTCGCAAATACCTGCCTGCCACTGTTTCCCCAAAAGCACAGAAAAAACCTCCAAGAACAAAAGTGTCAATAATATCAATAGAGAAAGAAAGACAAGACAAAGAAACATCACTGACACAAAGCAAACATTAGCTGGGTGCTCTGATGAAGCTGCTCAGTCAATGGTAAGGGACTTGGTGAGAATATGAAAGACCTTGGCACAAATTACACTCCATAGACGACAGACACTCCAACCAACTCATCGAAGACAGAAACATTTCAAATTAACTCAAAAACTAGGCTACAGAAAATATGGCCACCAGCCTTCAACTACCTCTATCAGCTAAGAACAGAATAAAACTGAAAGTTTTCAACATTTCATAAACATGCTCCCATGTAAGCATTTTTAAAAATCTTCATTAAAAAATAACTTGATTGCCCGGCTGCGCATGGCTCAGCGGTTGAGCGTTGACCTAGGATCTAGGAGATCAGGGTTTGATTCCTAGTCAGGGCACATACCCCGGGTTGCAGGCTCGATCCCCAGTCAGGGGTGTGCAGGAGGCAGCTGATCAATGACTCTTGTCATTGATGTTTCTCTCTCTGTCTCCCTCTCCCTTCTTCTCTCTAAAATCAATAAAGATATATATATTTTTTAAAATAGCTCACTCATGTTTTTAACCACTCCTTAGAAAAACGAGGTGCTCTCCAACGACAACATGATTCTGGAAGCAAAGCAAATGTGGCACCCAGGTCACTCGATACCCAACTGGCAAAGGGAACCAAGGGCCTTGCCAGTTCTGTGCTTCTCACTCACAACCGGGTGCTCAGTGTGTGAGGGGAGGGTAAACTAAGACGGAAATTAGCATTTAATCAGGGAAAGTCGTCATATACAGACAATCAGAATTAGCACTCTCAGAAATACATTTTATGGGGGAAATTCTGTGTAATAGCAATTAAGCTCTCAGTAGCCTCTTGCAATTAGTTCTCTGCTTCATGTCCTGCTTAGCAGGTGAGCTCTTACTGCTGGTCTGTGATCTCAAGGCATGAACACCTGTTCCAAGGCTGACAGTCAAACCTGAGCTCCTGGCCCACTCTCACCTCCCAACCAGGTGCAGATATTACCATCTCACACACCAAAGTGTGCCATGTTATGCTATGAAGGTGGGCAAGCACACCTGAAGGACGGTGGCTAGCAATGATCTGCTACCTGGTGCTGTATCTGACCCAGCAGCCCAGGGACACAGCAGTGCTAACAGCTCGCACAAGAGCACACCCTCTCTGCACCCCACCCAACAACTGAGCTTCTCCACCTGATGGCTAACCACCCCGCCCTGTGAAGACGTGAGTACCCGTAGGCCTTCTTCTGGTTGCTTCTTAAAGCTCCAGGCCATACACTCCAGCATTTTCTGGAAGACTTTCTGGACCATATCAAATAGTGCTGCAACCTCTTCATCTGAATTTGTTTTCTGCGTCAAGGAACTTCCAGTTACCTCTTTCAGAATGCCAAGAAGTAACGAAACATAGAAGAATCCCTTCACTAGAAAGAAAATTGGAAAAATCTGTTACCTAATCACATAATTTAATTGAAATTCTTACACATTTTCACTTAATACACGTGAATTACGGTAATTTTAAAGAGGTTTTTACTGGTAAGCCAATGGCAGGTTGACTGGATTAATCTAAATTTTAACATAAATAAAACCTGTTCCTTTAAATATAAGACCAATACTTTCAACAGTGTCTGACTCAGGCACTGGGAACCTGCTCACTGCACACGTGCCAGTGTGGTGCCTTGGACAGCTGGTTAGAGAACACGTCTTCTCTCTCCCATAACAGTGACATCCAATCAGCACCAGCTCCACAGCACAGTCTGAGACGACGGCCCAGAGCTTTCACAATGTGACTGCTCTCTCGCAGCTAATTCTGCGAAACCTCTGACACTCTGAGTGTACTGTTGTCTGTCTCTTCCGAATCACCGCCTTCCCGGTGTTGTGTTAACTTGGGGAAATGTTTTCCACGTGTGGGCCTAATCCTACAACTCATCCTAGATATCATGAATATACCTCCGTTTTAGATACTGTAAGCTCTACTTGAGATGCGTAAGACACTAACCCCAAACCCGTTTATCTGCTAAAGTAAATAAAATAAACAGTTGTGCTCCAGCCGAGTTTACCCTTCAAGAAGTCTCTGTCATGACCAGAATCCACAAAGCTTCTAAAATCTTTGCAAACATATTAGAAACTTTCAAGAAACTAATCTCTTTTATTTAAAAGGAGGCAAGTGACACACCCTCCGCACAGTGGAACAGGCGGGAAGGGAACACTGTGCCCCTGAAATGAAGTACAAACAGCTCAGAAGCAGCCTAAGTGTGAGGTTCAGGACTGTGAAAACAGGAAGGTCTGGCCTTACAGCCATCATAGGCGTGGGGTGTGGGAGACAACCTCTCACTTAACTCGTACCTTCAATTACTGACAAAAACAGGAAAAGTTAAAAATTTTAATTCAAAGTGATTTCATTATATTCAAGCAGCAATTGCCTTAGGACCAAATACATGTAGACAGTGGCTTAGTAACACACGGCAAATTCCTGGAGACATGTCAGAATTCACAGTCGTGGAAAACAGTAGACAAAGTCCCTGCTCCCCGGAGCGCACCGGCTCACAGGCAGCCGCTGGGCAGAGCGTCCGTCAGTCTGACACTGTGAGCTTGGTTCCTGGGTTCCCAAAGGCTGAGAGCTCAGGCACACCTGCTCCTCCTGGCTTGGCCGGGTGTGCGCTCTTCTCCCAGCTCCCCCCAGGGACCAGGTCACAATCAGTCTGCCCTTACCTCTCCATTTTAGACAAAGTCAAGTATCTGCTGTAACTCTTATTGGAAAGGTATCCTTTTCAAGGTCTGTCATTCCTCGTGCTGTCACAGCAGCCCAGGTCGCCTGACCACAGCCGTCACTGTCGGCGCCTGACTGGCAGGATGCACACCGCACACATGTGCTGCAGCAGAAAGTCCTGCACTGTTGGGTTATGTGTGTCCGAGGACATCTCTTCTGGAAGATGCACGTCATGCTGGAGGAGGCCATGCTTAACTAGTAATAATCTAGGGGTGACTGGTTTTTAATTAAAATGTTGCATTAGTCCAGTGAACAGCTAAACTTCCCAGCGCAATCCCATCTGTGACAGGACTACAATAACGACCAGAGTGGATTCTCTCCTCGGAAACCCTGATAGTTACAAACCTCTGCACAAGTACAAATATCATTTCAGTTCGGTCAGAGGTCATGCCTGTAGCTTAGGGCAGCGATTTTCAACCTTTTCCATCTCATGGCACATAAACCAATTATTAAAATTCTGCAGCACACCAAAAACATATTTTTGCCAATCTGACAAAAAAAGGTATAATTTTGATTCACTCACACTGACAGCTATTGTTGAGTTGGCTGTTGTCATTTTTTATTTGATGATCTAAGGGAAGAGAGGTCAGAGCCCCTGACTCAACAGTCACATGTTGTCTGTTCTAAAAATTCTCACAGCACACAGGTTGAAAGTTGCTAAACGAGGGCCTTGTTTGGGGGAACAGACACCTCTACATGGTGAAACTGACAACACTGAGGATCTAAAATTCTAGCTAGCTCCTCAAAAAGCATATTTTACATAAAATTAGATTCAGTGGTTGGGGGAAAATAAGTCTTAAATGAAAAATAAAGTTTAAAAACTGTAAACAGTTTTTAGTGTTTCAACAATTAAGCTTAAGTTTAGATGCTGTTTTCACAAAAGAAAGTAAGAGTTACAAAGAACTAAATGAAGAGGAAAACCTCAAACTTTAAAAGCAACAATATCAGGCTGTGGCCAGTGTGACTCAGTTGGCTGCAGTGCTGTCCCGGGCACCAGAAGATGGCAGGTTCGTTCCACTCAGGGCACCCAGGTTGTGGGTTTGATTCTAGACAGGGCGTGTGTGGAGGCAGCCAAGTGATGTTTCTCTTTCATATTGATGTTTCTCCCTTCCCCCCACCCCCCTCTCTTCCTTCCACTCTCTGAAAAATGGGAAAAATATCCTCAGGTGAGGATTAAAAAAAAAAAAAAGACTGCACATGGCTAGCGTCAACTGAGCAACTGAGCTAGGCTCACTGAATCTAATTTTCAAAACATGATAATCTCATTTTCAATCTCTTCAAGTAAATATCTAGGCTTAGAGAAATTTAGAAGCCAATTCTCAAGTTTCTATAGATTTCAGGAGGAAGCAAGTGCAGCATCAGGATGCACAGGGACAGCAGTTCACAGCCAGTCCACGCAGAATGTGGCTCCCCGGGCTGTGGGGGTGGGGTCACAGCCCAGCAGCACTCCTCTGAGCCTGACTGTGACCACAGCCCACTCTTCCCACCATCAGGTGATGGGGCTGTGAGAATGCAGCCCTGGGACCCACGGACGAATGATCAAGACCATCCCTGGGCCTGGTCCCAGGTGGCTGGCCCCTCACTCACCCACTGAACACATTTCGCTTAATACCAAGTGCACAGCCAGTGTGGCCTCACAGTATTAGTTCCTAGGTGACCCTGTCCTTGGGGTACTGGCAACTTCCCAGGGGTCCTGGGGGGGACATGAAATAACCCAACTCACAGCCCTGCATGGCTGGGCAGACGAGCTCTGTGACCTGTACCTTTGCGAGCACGGGGGAGCAGACAGCTTGGCAGCCAGTGCTCAAGGCACACATGGCAAAGTCACACAACAATGAGCAAAACACAGCGAGGCCCCCAAGGCCTCGTCAGAAACTCTGGACTCACTGATATCAGATCCCAGAAACACCTTTGAACTTCCTGGCTGCACCAGCCCACACATCCCTCTTTTGGTGTAAGCTGTCTGTGCTCCTCACCTGTCACTTTAAAGCCACAGTCCTGACCAGCACAGTGAGGGAGGGACTGGTTCTGATTGTCAACTGTCCTAATAGCCCTTTAAGGAGTGCGAGTACCTGTGTGCATGATTGCGAGGCTCCAGTGTAAGAGCTGTATCTGGAACTTGCAATCACCAAGGCCGACCATCACAACATCTTTGCCCACGGTCAGGTAGGTCTGTAAGAGACAGGTGTGCAACGTGGCTCACCAACAAAGGCCAGAGAAAGAAAAAGGGAGTAAGTCCAGCTGGTGCAGTTCCTAACAGCTGATGGACTGCCAGCCAGCTCACACAGCAGGTATCTACAAAGATGTTTTGTAAAGGAATTTCCATAAAGATACGTTAATTCTCAAGTTACAACTTTAAAACAGAAAAGAAAGTCTTGAAGCCCCTGACAAACCCTGTAAGGAGGGGGAGGTGCCTGTTAAGGATTCTGACCTGGATAATCTGCTGATAAACAGCCCGATGACGCTTCAGATATTCTTCCTCTTGATCTTGAATAAAAGATAAAACTTTGTTTTCCAACCAAAACCCGGTGTCTTCCAAAATGGACAGGTAAACTTTTCCTTCTGTGCAGAACTGTACAAAAGATAGACAGACAACAGAAAGACAACTTAGTAATGAGCACTGCTGGCGACTGCTTCCCGCTCTGCCCTGGGGTGGAGACCGGCACACCTTGTGCTGCAGATGGATACTCAGCCGGCAGTGCAGGCTGAAGGCTCGCAGGGCAGTTGCCTCACTGAAGTACTCAGCTTTCCCACCAGGCGACTGCAGAATGGACTCCAGGTCTACCTGAGATAGAAAACCAGCTGACAAGTCACCACCACACCGAGTGTGGCAGGGACCACAGAGGGGACGCACAGTGAGGACGGTGGGAGGCACCTGACACAGCTGCCCCAGGAGAGGAACCCCGAGCTGCAGAGGTGACTCCATCACACAGCAAAGCTGTCCAAGAAACACACAGGCTTCACTTCCTCTGCCCCTGCAGAACCTCCCACTAAGGAACAAGGAAATCCTTTAAGTTCTTGCTTGAGAAGCCAAGGAGCAAGCTGGTTAAAGCCCTTGCCCCTGGGTAAATTCTGACCTGCCCTCAGTGAGGGGCAAAGTCAGCCCTATTAGGACAGACCAACCAACACAGGAGAGAGAGGCAATCCCAGGACATTCCTCTCCTCCACGGGCAGGTGGGAGCCTCCAGCCTGGACTCCGGGCCACACACAAGAGCAGTTGTGTCTGCTTGCGGCAACACAGATGGAGGGGGCGTCCCTCCAGCATGTCATAGGGGGTAGCACCACTCATCATTTGTGCTGGGGACACTCCCCCACTTTTCCTAGAACCCACAGGCTGCCCTGCTTCCTGTACCTGTTAGGCATCCACATCTCATGTCCTTGTCTGCAAAGTGACGGAGGGGACTAAGTAGCTCTTCACTCCTCCCCAGCCGGGAAAACTTTCACGATAAGTATGAAAAATTCAGAACTTACTTTGTCACACCTGCTCTTTCGTGGAGGGACTACCTCTCACGGTGCCCATATCTGTTCTATAGTTACCTTGGACATTTCCAGTGCTTTCAAAAGGTGGTTCAGCTTCTTCCGGGGCGCAGCAAGCAGGCTCTCTCGGTTCTTCGGGTGGATCAGCAGGTACTCTATGTAAACCAGCGCCAACTCGGGCTTCACGGGTCGGGGGTCATGGATCTGCACCTTCCGCTTAGACGCTGAGTTAGTCTGAGAGAAGGAGAGCAACAAACTGACACACTTGTCCCCGGAGAGCTCTACGCGGACAGTCACCCTCGCCAGCAGACTTAGAGACGTGACACGTGCACACCTTTCTCTGGGGTGGCTCCTCGGGCAGCCAGTCACAGACGAGTTCCAAGATGTGTCCCACCTGTCCCCAGGAGCAGAGACAGTCCAGCAGAGTGCAGTAGCTCCTGTCCCCAGCCCCTTCCTCTTGGTTTCTCAATGTGGAGATAACACTGCAGCTGAACATGCCAAATACACAAGGTCAGACCAAATGTTTCAATAGCAGTTTCCCACTTTTCTAAAAGGTGAGGAAGACAAAGCAGCTGAGAACTGAAGGCACGTAAGTCCCTCCTGTCACAGGACCTTCTCCACGGCCAGAACAAATACTCCCACTTCTCCACCCTTAGACACGGGCTGAGACCAGCACAAGACACCGGACTGAGAGCGGCTTTAGGGAGACAAGTGTCAGCCCAGATACAGGGTCAAGTCCTTGGCATGGTCACATAAACCCCCTTTGCTCCATGTTGTCTGTCAGACTCCAGAGCTAAGACTCCTAATTCAGGGATAACGATGTCTGTTTAGCATCAACACATTAATTTTATCATAAAGATGAGTAAAAATAAGTAATTTTCACTGAGCTAACCAACACTCCTGAGCAGGGATGGGGAATGTCCGGCCCCACGAAATCATCTGATCTGACCCTGCCAAGGCTCCCCAAAGAGAAGCAGTCCCAGCCATCCCATTAGGGTGAGGGTGTTATAAATATCCAGATGGCCCTTGCAGAAAAAAGGTTCCCTACCCGTACTCTAGAGCAACGCTATCAAATAAAAAATGTAATGCAGGCCACAAAAACAAGCCCCTATATCATTTAAATTTTGTAGTCATATTTAAAAAATAAAGAGGAACAGGTAAAATTAGTTTCACTAACATATCTTATTTAACCCAACCTACCCATGCTATCATGTTAAGATATGATAAAGGAAACTACTGAAGACATTTTACACTCTTCACACTGAGTCTCCCGAGTCCACGTGCATTCTGCACTCACAGCACAACCCCACCCAGATGGCCACGCTCCACATGTTGCAGCCACACTGGCCAATGCACGATGGTGGACAGAGGCACACCTCTAGCGTCCCAGCACATGGGGCTTGACAAGCACCGACTTAAGGCTCAGAAAGCTCTAGCCCCAGTCTCCACGGGATTCCTGGGCAACTCCGGAGCCACAGGAAATTGCAACCTGCTCTCCCCTGCACAGGGAGAGGAAGGGAGCTGGGAAGGAGGCAGCAGCTGAGAAGTTAAAGCTACAGCAGGGCAGTCTGCTGAGTGTCAGAGGGATAACAAGCACAGCCGTGGCGGGGCTCCCACTCCACTGCTGCCCAGACAGGTACCTGAATGCAGGCACAGCAGAGGGCGGCATGAAGGACATCAGCATAAACAAGGGGATCCTGCAGCGGTCGTCCTGAAAGCATAAAGGGGAGAACAAAGCGTAAAGGCATTCGAACACAGTGATGCTCTGCAGGCCCCCCATACAACTTCCTACTCCCACGCTGTCACAGCAGGAGCGTGACCTGGCCGTACCCAATGGGAGCGCTCGCAGCTATGGGACAGCCTTCCTCCAGGTCCACACGACACTTCACTACTGTGTGATGGCTAATTTGTGCAGACATTTAAGAAGCACCTTCTGTGTACCAGGCGCCAATGTGTAGCCTGGGGCCGCACCAGGAACCAGAATACACAGATTTCTTGCTGTCAAGACTCTGACTTCTGTTGTGAAAACAATGCTGATAAAAGGAGAAAGGTTATCTGCACACAGCTGGTACCCTGAACACGAAACTCAAGGGAATGAAACTAGTCGGAGAAAAACTTTCAAATAAAATAACCGGAAGACGGGATAGTTTGGTGGGAAGCGTGGAGAACAGTTTGCTGGAGCTGCCTCACAACTACTAAGGGCCCCAGGCCCCACCAGCCCGCTCAGGGCCGTACCTCTCCTCCTCCCTGACAAGGACGTGGCCGAGGGTGTGGCCGGCGGTGGGTAGGGCTGAGGGAGGGCAGCGGGCAGGGCTCTCAGTGAACTGGCAGCACTCCCACTACCTGATGCAATAGCAGAGCAAAGTAAAAACACCCTCGGATGGCTGGGAGAATGAGGGCCGGTGGGTCCCAAATAAAAACTATTCTGAAAATGTACTTTAAACGGAAACAGAAGCAACATCAAAATAGGATCCCTAATAATCTGTGCTCAGCGCTAACTGCACCCTCCCCCAGTAAGGAAGGAACTATGTTCTCAGTGTCACGGAGCAGATGGGCCATCACTGCTGCCTCCACTCTGCATAACCAACACTGCAGACGGTTCATTCACTAGGGTGGCCACGTGGTTCTCCAAGCTCCTGCGGAGAAAGGAGCTCTTTTGCCAGAATCACTTGGAATTAAGGAAACTAATTAATGGCCCCCCTTGGGTTCCTAGATACCCCCAGCCCACTACTGTCATCTCATCCAGCGTCTTCTGAGACTCCTAAGGGAATGCCAGCTTCTCAGTCCAGTGGAATTTGAGCTTTAAATGTGCTGGAAACTCTGGCAGCAGAGGTGATTTACTTTCATGGGCAGCGGTTTGCATTTTAGAGGCAGAATGAAGCTCAGGAGCATGTCAGTCACAGAAAGACAGCTCACAGAAGAGCCGAGAGAAAACTCTCCCAGAGAAGGTGGTTCCTAAGACCTATGACCTTTCCCCCTCAGACCATGCTCTCTTTATAATTGGGAATAATTTGTATTTTTCACTATTAGTCATATTTTCATCTGTTTTTGAAATATGAACTTCCTTCAGAAGTTAAATAAAAAGTCAAGGAATGAGAAAGCTTCTTCCATCCAAACATAAGTAATAACATCCGTGGTTATCTTTGTCCTGATAACAGACATGACTCGGACACTTCAGAAACGCATTTGCTTATCGTCTGGTATCAAATGCTGAAAACTGCCCACAAAGCTTCGGTGCTGCAGCATCCTCACGTTCACAAACTCCCCTTTCTCAATTCCCAGCAAAGACTCTAAAATAGCGTCACAGACCACAGAGACCGAATGCTTACCCTTGACATTCCCCTGGCTGCTGGGAACACGGAGCTGAAAGGCACATGGCCTCCGCCCTCGGGAAGGCTAGAAGCCAACCTTCCTGCCAGGTGAGAGCTGGCTGAGCCCTCCTGCTACAGACGAGGCCCCAGGATGAGGCAGAGGTGCTGGGCCCTTCTGCTTATTCTGCTCCAATGTCACCTCAACGTGCCTGCGTACAAGTGCCAACCTTACCTGAAACACTTTCAGGTACTGGGGGAGCACGGAGGCAAACTTGTCAATGGTGTAGAGCCTGGCCTCCTTGTTCCTCTCCATGCTCCTGTGAATGCTCTTCCAGAGGATCACGATGATTTCCAGCAAGCCTGCCATGGACCCGGCGTCGTTCACGGACAGGGTTTTGTCCAGAACCTAAGATACACATGATTTTATTGCAAAAGAATCAAATCATAACAACCATTAAGATAAGATAACAGCACTATGTCTGAGAGCATGTCTCAGAATTCTGGGCATAGAGCAGAAATGTGAAGGACACCAAGTCTATTTTCATGTCAGGGTTTATTGTGTATCTGAGAATCTCTAAGAGGTAGATCTGCTTTTAAAAGCCCACCCAAGAAATAACACATTCTAAATTAAATTACCCTATATCCTCTCAATAAACAATTTTTATGAATTAAAAATCCTCTCAAAATCAAAATGTATAACCTGTCATCAGCTAGGGACATAACACAATAGGAAAGAGCACGCTTCTTCTTTACTGTCTTCTGATTTGTTAAAGGCTGTCACTTCTCACCACAGACCTCGAAGGGAACAGACCAGGGGTGGGGGGGTGGATACAATCTGATTTACTCAATGTGGTTACTACTGAAGCTCGGTGACATCGCCCATTCTACAGGCAGGGAGGTATGAGGGCTCTGGTGTGACAACTGGTAACCACCAACCCCACTCATCATGGGCTTCCTCGGCTTGCTTTTAAAATAATACACCCATTCACGTTTCCCAACTTACGCTGGCAATAAGCCATAACCGCTGCTGTCTATCATCTGAGTGTCTGGCCTAAACCAGAGGCACTCTAATAAATCCCTCTTCTGCCATCGCTGTAAGCTGTACACGTACGTGCCCCGCCCAGACACACACTGGCAGAGCCCCGTGGCGACTGCAGCACAGCTTGAGAACCTGCAAGTAGCAGCAGACACCATGTCCTGGAGACGCAAAGGATAACTCATTTCAGGTGTTGGTATTTATGTGCTACCTACTCAAATGTAATGGAAAGTAGCGTGATGAATGAGGGAATGTAAAAAGAGCAATAGTAGTTTCTATGCAGTTATACTTTCTAATGGGCACTTAATATTCTGACTGAGGTATGGCCAGGCAAATGTACAAAGCAATGAAACCACCAAAGTCTTACTGTAGGAATGATACAAATAACAGATTAACAAAATTTCACTGTATTTAATTCCACTTTTCACAGCTCCAATGTCCAGCACAGCAGCCTGGTCACAGAGTCCAACAGAAGCCATCACTTCTTACAATGTGCTCAGTTCCCAAGTGAGACCTCACTAAAGAGGAAGCCAGACAGCAATGAAAAAAAAGTAAAAGGACACTTCAAAAACTTTTGCTTTTAGCCTTATATGCTTAGAATATCTATACAACAAACTGTATTTCTCTTCTAGCATTGTTATTACAATGGAACTACATATTTCTAAGCTCTTGTGTTTTCTGATGATAGACAAAATGACCTAAAACTTTACAAAGGCAAGCTTTCTCATTTACACCTAGGTTTTTAATAAAGAGACTGGAGGATTCCTTCAATGTTTAAAAACATAAGTCTCAACTATTATTGTCTCGTAAAATATGCTTTTGCTCTTTTGCAAAACCATTTCCACCATTAGCACGAGTCTGCGAGACCCAGACAGAGGCACTGCTTGCTCTGCAGCCCAAGATGCCTGCTCACTGCCCATCGCTGTGCCCACCTCGCACACTGCAGCCCCTCCCCTGTGGACAGGGGTGGTCTCCGCACTGCCCTCTTCAGCTAAGGTTTTTGAAGGTGCTTAGCAGCGAAGAGATCACCTTCCTGAAGAATCCTGCCCGCCCAATCCACATATGGAGGGGAAAGCCCTGAAGAGAGGAACTCAGACCCCATCAGAACAGGAAGCAGGACAATTCCGAATGCTCTCTGCTGGGTGTTTCCCAAACCCAGGCTGAAAAGGCCTGTGAGCTGATCCAGCCCCTACTGAGGGCCAACTATTCAGATGAAATGCAGACCACGCTTTCTATGATCTCCTCTCTCTGTCCCAACTCTGTAGTCCCTGACTGGGACAGAGGAAAGGCTGGTGGGGAAGTGGTCACACAAGGTATGAGTGCAATGGCACGTGTGTGAACAGCACCCTCCTGACATGCAGCCAGACAGCCTGAGACCAGTGAACAATGCAAGTCACGCACGAGCCCTGAGCAACCTGTCAGCCTGTGTCAGAGGTGGTGGGCACAGGGCAGGAGCGAGGCAGGACCAGCCAGCACCGGGGCTCACAGTTCCATGTTTCAGCAAGAGTGCAAACTGTCTTGGGTGCCTTTCTTCTCAAGGCCAGTTTCCTAACCTAGTTGAGCACCACAAAACTATCCCAAGATTTTACTTTCAATGTCCTTAGCACACAAGTTTGATTACAAGCTTAGATAGTGCCGACAAGTAGTATGTCTAACCCCCAAACATTCTACTCTTAGGCTCTGACTGGTCACTTTGGATTCTGAAGAAAGAGCAGCCAAACAATCCCTTTGATAAATCACTTTCGATAAATTACTTTTTTTTAAAAAAAAGAAAGAATTCTAAATAAAAATCAGTCCTAGAAAGTCAACTCCAAGATGTCTCTAGGAGAATCTTGTGGCATAGGTTAAGAGTCCCACCACCTAAAATATTTTAACGTCTGAGTCCAATACAGGTGTGCCACCCCCGACAGAATCAAAACATATGGAGACACTTAAGGCAAAGAAAATCGGGGACAGGTGTTCCCAGTAATAATTTCCTCCTATTACCTCCTACCCAAACTCCACAATGAAATACAAAGGATATACAACAATTCTTTCAAAAACAGTATTTATGATCCTCCAAAATAATTAGTTGGAATGTCAATACTAAAAGAATAAGTAGAAAAAAAATTCCTAATGTTGGGGATGGGGAGAATTCCCCCACTTCTGATCTAAAACCAGATTAACGTAATATGTGTGTACAACAGTCTCTCTGAAATGATGAACCAGCCAAGCTTTTTATGCTTTTTAGACAAAGAAACAACACATTTGTGAAGAACCGACAGGACACAGACACTTAGGTTTGGGTGCTTATTAGTGAGAAGCATGAACAAGGTTGGGCTTGGTGGTGAACTGGTGAAGGGGTCACGGGGTTGGTTTGTAAAGGCTTTGGCCCTGAATTCCTAACTCTAGCCATTGCAGGACCTTCTGGGGCAGCCTGCCTGGGCCTAGGCCCTGCACAGCCGAGTGTCCACTTACACTCTCATTCTCCTTCCCCCTCTCCTCGTCTTCCTCCTGCAGCTCTCGCACGGCCTTCCTGATGCAGGCATTTAAGCAGTGGCGGATCACGTGAATCAGCTTTGCTACAATGTGTAAGAAAATCAAGTTAATTTACATGTGTCTTCAACAAAACTACCTTTAACTAGTAAAATTATAATCCCAAATAATTACAAGTGTCACTTAAGGGACATCATGCAGCAATGCACTCAAGCATGGAGCTTTAAAACGCGCCCCCAGTGAGCACAGGTCACAAGCCAGGCTCAGTGGAGAACAGCCCCAGGGATGCAGTGGGTGTACCTATGTTGGTGCAGGCGGTGTGCTCGTGGGCATGCTGGTAGAACCTCCTGGCGGCAGCGTGATTCATCTGCAGCAGCGTGACGCAACGCTCACACCACACCTCCTCCGGCAGGTTCACGGGCAGGAATGAGTTAAAGATGAGGCTCACCAGGCGCCGACACACAGGCCGGGAATCTGATTCCAGTCGAACCAAGATATGCTCCATGGGGCATATTTTCCAAAACTGTGTAGAAAGCATGTGTGGAAAAAAATGGTCAATGGTTACTGTAATCTTGAATACATTTTAAGTAAAATTTCCAGAGCATAATAAAAAAGAAACTAACTTTTTTATTCAAGAAAATTCATTTGGCAGTTACAAAATAGTGTTGGGGATGTAAAGTACAGGGGATATAGTCAGTAACACTGTAATAACTATGGATGGTGCCAGGAGGGTACTAGACTTACCACCCTGATCGCTTTGTAAGTTATATGAATGTCTAACCACTATGCTGTACACCTGAACTAAAATAATACTGTACGTCAACTGTAACTAAAAAATAACAAAAACTTTTAAAAACTGAGCTGTATAATCTTGGGGGAAAAAATGAGAATTTCAAATGACTATAGAATCTGTGACCCGTCTTCAGGAAATTTCAGTTAATAAATCCATATTTTAAAAAGCACTGACATATAAGGTACCCGAGTATAAGGCTGTTGGGAGGGTTAATCATAATTAGCACCATGCTCGATGCATAGTAAACTTAAATGATAGCTGTGATTATCAGAGTCTAATCATTTTAAATTTCCTAAAACATCATAAGTTTTGGCCCACTAATATGAAAACTGAATTTTAAAATTTACAACAGTTTTTACAAAAGCTTAAGTGAACAGCCCGTTTCCTACCTGGGAGACGCACCCAGGGCTGCTGGACCATCGACCTGGCACCTCCCCCCCAGTGCCAGCTTGCCCAGGGGACCTCAGCTGCTGCCAGATAACAGCACAGATCAGAAGTGACCTGTGACCTGTGGCCCTCTGCTCACAAGCATCAAAGCTGTCCACTGCCCACAGAGGAGGGCCAGACTTCTAGGCAAGAAATCCAAGGCAAGAGGAAAATATCTCGGAATAATAGAAAGAAAACAGATTTCAATGGTGAAACGTTCAAATCCCATCTCAGGGCCAGCCGGTGTTGCTCAGTGGTTGAGCATCAGCCCAGGAACCAAGAGGTTCCAAGTTCAATTCTGGTCAGGGCACATGCCCAGGTTGTAGGCTCACTCCACTCCCTGGTGGGGCATGCAGGAGGCAGCCAAAGGATGATGTTTCTCTCTCATTGATGTTTCTGTCTCTCTATGCCTTTCCCTTCCTCTCTCTAAAAATCAATAAAAAACATTAAAAAAAAAAAAAAATCCCACCTTGGGCCTTTATTCGCTGGCAATCCTGTGCAAACACATACACCTGAAATGTTTTCCCATCTGTGCACCAGGGAGCCCCCACTGACGTGTCCATTTCTCAAGGACCTGGCTCTAGTGATCACCCCTTCTTCCCAGAAATTTTAAAACATGCTGAATTCCCTGCCTCCTTCCAGGCCCCACCTCCGCTCCTGGGCTTTTTATTCTGTACCATGGATCAGTCCTTCTGTCCAGGGCCTTGGAGACTAAGATGAGGCTTGGACCTCCCTGAGCTCAGCCCTCTCTCTCAGAATGGAAGTAGAGAAAGGGTAACTCTCATTGCTCCAACGCTGGATGCAGGAGACCCATGACTGCAAACATATCCATGAGTACCACGAGCATGACCAGTGTCGGACAGCAGCATGCAGCCCATCATTCCAACCTGATGACAATCAGCCACCATTCCTATTAGCTGCCTCTCCACCCTCTGGCCTTGAGGCCCAGCAACCTCTGACCTTGATTTTCAAGGACAAACCTTTGCAGGGACCTTACTGCTAAACCACTCTCTGCCTGGCCTCTACAGAACCAAGATCAAGATGACAGAGGCATCTCATTAAGACAAAACCCAAACTCCATCCAGGTCCCAGGCCTTTTGTCTGTTTACCTGTCTCTCCTGTTCTCCTGGGGAGACCTATTAATAAAGGGAAACAATGTCCTCTCCATCCCTCACCTCCACAGCCCTGTGCAAGCAGATTCACAAATCAGACAGCACTGAGCCAAGCACTCTCCTTCCAGACTCAGAATCTAGTTTCAAGAGGCTGTTAGACAAAATCAACCAAAAGTGCAGCCAGCTTTGTTGTTGAAACTGATGTGCTGATTCTAAAATTTAAATGTAGCCAAAGGACTCTGAAGGCAGGGGCTGGGATTCATGCAGCATACACGGGGAGCTGCGGCATCCAGGGGGTATGGTGCGGTGCAGCCCTGGCCCAGGACAAACAGCAGGTGAGCCAGACAGAACAAGTCCCAGAAACAAACCACACCGTCAACTGATTTGCAACAAAAGTACCGAAGTGGTAAGACTGGGGATAACATGGGTATTCTTATTCTTACTACATAGATCACACAAACTACTTTTTTTAAAACATAAAAATATTCAGTTTGAAATTTGAAAAGCATAAAGCAATACACACCCTGAGCAGTGATAAGGCCTCCCCAGATCCCATCCCCTCTCTCAGGCAGCTGTCACTAACTTCCTGATTCTCCAGGGAGGAATGCTTTCTGCACATCTGAGCTAACATGTCGTGTGTTCTGTGTCACACAGCTGGTGTCTGCACCTGCTTCCATTCTTCCATCTTAGAGGTATATTCCACATAAGCTCAATTCTTCTCACAGTCATGCAGCATCATGTCATCGCATGAATGCACCTCAGGTCTGCACAGCTGACCCTACAGTGAATGACCTGTGAGCCTGTTCCCAAATCCTGGGCATGACAAAGTACCCTTTTTAAAAGTGAATTTCAGAGAACCACTGTGTGGAGGGAAAAGGTAACAAATGCCAGATAATCATGAAGTCGAGACCCTTACAACTAACATGCAGCCAAGAGCTGACAGCACTAGAGCTGGGGAAAGCACCATGGACGTTATAATAAACCAATGTCTCCTCGCCTCCTTCTGTAAAATGTGGTGTGGAGGAAGGGAAATCTCATCTTGGTATTCTCCCAGTTTAAGTGCTTACTATGTGCCAAGTTTTAAAATATTTCAACAAAAATGTTTGTGCACATGATAAAAATATAATGTAAGGTAGGAGCTGCTCACATGAATGTTTTCAAAAAGAAAACACATACTGATGACATTTTTAGACTCGTCAATGGAAATCACAAGACAAATAAATTTTATAAGCTTAACAACTGGCAGACTATACCAGACATTGATTAGTTTAAAATGTGATCACTAAAACCTTAGAATTAAGTGCTCTCTATTTCTGTGAATGGAAACAAATGCACTCATTACGTCACGTATGGAAGAAGAAAAGCCTTGTTTACCCACCTTGGCAGCCCGCACGGCTTTGACTTTCAGCAGCATTTCCACGAATGCCACTCTCACTTTCTCCGAATTGTCATGGAGACTGTACTTCAGTGTTGGCAGAAGCTGCTCTAATAATGGGTGGCTTAATTTGTTATCCAAAATTATCGGCAGACACTGCAAGAAATGAGAAAGAAAAGATTCAAAATCAAAACTAAATAGGTTCAGGTAGGAAAACATCCAGGTCTATCTTCACCAGAACTGCTGGTGAAATAAGTAAACACACCTGCAGAAAATGACACTTTCTAAACGGTGTAACATAAACATACGGTTAATGAATTAGTATGGATTCAATGCCCGATGATGGCTCATCCGCTGTTTCACCCAAACAAGATTAGAGCAGCTATACAGTAACTTTCAGAGTGGAGAAAAACACAGCACCACCGCTGGTGGAGCAGCTCCAAAGCCACCTGTGCCCTTTATCCCTGGCACCAGCCCACAGGTTCCCTGCATCTGCTGACTCCATCCCGCATGACCCGCGCTCCCCAGATGGGAGGCCCAGTGACCTGCCCAAGCTCAGCCCAGGCTCTGACGTGTCAGAAGGTTGATATGCCCTGCCACCTTCTCTTTCCAGTCATTAGGAAAAAAGATTTATTATTTTAAACAACACATATATCTTAAAGATCATACGTAAATGTTTACAGATGAGATGATACGTCTGGGATTTGCTTCAAAGTAATTGTGGGAGACGATGGGTGGGCTACAGAGAAACGAGATGGGATATGTCCTGGTAACTAATGAGACTGGGTGACGGGAGCAAAGATATTTTTGCAGGTTCTTATGAAAAGTACATATGGTATATCAAAAAGGTCAATTTTAATGTATAATAACTTAAAAATTTTTAAGTACGTACAGCTCCCATTCTAAAATGCTTCCCCCTGGCCCCCAACACACACAGTGGACTATTTCTAGAAGATAGTTTCTGTAGAAAACATTTTTAACTTGGTTGTTAACACCTTATTGGACATACGACAAACATGTCAACAGTGCTATGTGTATGTAGGATTCTGGGTGGTTTTTAACTTTTTCTTTCTCTGTATTTTCTAACTAATCTTCAATAAATAAATAGTGTATAGGATTTAAAATAAATAAATAAATAACTTAAAATCCTACCTTAAAGACAGAACAGCGCACATCGGCCGAGCTTGTATCAAACGCCAGCTCCCCGGTCACTTTCTTGAGGAGATCAATAAGAATGGTCGGAGGCATCATCTCCCAGTATTTGGAAGTTATTTTACAAACGCCAAGTATCCCTGCGGAACGGACCATCGGGTAAGGATCTTCTAAAAGGCTCTATAAGCAGGAGGGGAAAAAGGCTTAAAAATCTTAAATCAGTTCCCTTTATATCAACATTTGCTTTACACAAAAGCACTCTGGACACAAGTTACAGAAACACGGGCCATGCACAGGCCCTGGATCTCTGGCCACATGTCACTTCCACTGCTGAATACTGAAAGAGGACATCTAGACCCACGTGGTGCTGTATTGGCCAATCCAACCCACAGGACCTGGCGACCACAGGGCCTCCAAGCCCGGCCCTACCGCTGGGCAGTGGCGAGATGCTGGTACTCCTGAGTACCACCCTGTTAGACACGACTACCAAATCACTCCCGAGTTCCCACAGGGCTGAAACACACTGAACACAGAATAAAGTCATTCTCCTCTCAATGACTCAGTCCAGACAATGGTCGTATGGACCTGATGGAAGTACAGGGCAGCATCTGGAGAATCACACACCACACACAAAACTCACAAAAACATGGCTCTATAGTTAACTCCAATTCACAGGAAAGACAAAGGGCAGGGGATGTATCAATGGCACTGTGGGGAGAGGTTCTGCAAAACCTGGAATGTGGGAAACAAAAGAATAACTTGGCTTCTTCAACAATAAAAACAGTAAGAAAAAAGAGAGAGAGAGCAGAGATTGCTGGAGAGGGACATCATACTGTAATTTCAACTTTCTGCCTTGCCGAGATTTTTCATAATCAGTCAGAAAGCAAACAAAATGAAGTATCTAAGAGTGTCATGGGTAACCACCATTATCATGGCATTTTTTTCTATCTCTGCCTACAATTTTCTTCTACTAACTAGGGAAATAAATGTTTTTAGCTTGTGCTGGGAAACCTGAGAATGTGAGGGAGTGTGGAGCAACGAGCAGAGGGCAGCACTCCCCAGCAAGGTGAGCAAGACCCACAACACCCAGGAAATAAACGTCGCCCCCTCATGTCCTAATGCCTCTCTTGAAAGCTAGTCATCTGAGAAAACAGCTGCCACAGGCTTTATCTGTGGGCTTGCCTTACACACACCCAGTGTGTGCTCCTTCCTACGACCCACAGCTCTACAGTGGGCAGTATCACCACCCCAGGTCGCAGGTGAAGAGACAAAGTGACCTGCCCAAAGTTACTCAGCTAATAAGGAAGAGGTGGAGTCAAATCTGGAGGTACTTTAACCCCTATGTTATGCTACCTCTGCTGTGGAGACAAGAGTACACAAAAAACACTTAAAACTATATGAAGTAATAAATAATTAATGTTCCAAAGGAGACGAAGAGGAAGAGAAATGGGCACTATGGGCCCATGCTGTCTGAGAGGCACCAGGGAGAACCAGTTTCCTTAAAGAATGTCAACATCCGGAAAGCTTGCAGTTGGGGGCGGGGCACCCGCAGACATAGGCGGACGGCTAGGACGCACGCCAGGCCAGGTAGAGCTGTGGTTATAAGGAGCTGAACTGCATGGATACGTACATAGAGTTCTTCAAACTGTTTCTGAATTTCACTGTCCATTTCAATAGCATTGAAGCTTGGATCTCTAATAGGAAATGCTTCCACGAACAGCAGTGCAGCATTGGAGCGAACTTCAGAGTTTCTGGCCTAAAAAAATGAGGAAGTATTTCAGGATCCAGGGATGAAATTCCAGAGTAAAGCTCCTAGTACTCAACATAGACTCACGAAAGAAAGACAGCAGTCCTTCCTTAGTCAGCAAACTCAGCCCAGTGTCGACAGACATAAAAAGACTGTCTCCTTGTTCAAAACCCACCTTGTGTGACTGTCACATTCCACCCCTACACCAGTCACCTGGGCTGAAATCCTCCTGTGTCGACCTGAACACTCCTTAGTTTGTCAACCTGGCTCCATTTCAGCAGGGGTCTGGAGGGACCAGGACACCCAGCCACCTCTGCAGACCCCACCACCTCCGATTTACTGAGCACAACTACCCCCTTCCAACTGTGTAGTCAGTACTAAACCAACTCAGACTCCCAGTCTGATGGGCCTGAGAAATGCTTTTAATAGAACAAAACATTCATCCCCAAATTTCACAAAGCTCCCGGCCTCCAGTCCTGTTTCTACTGCCTTACGACAATTTGAATGGGCGTGCGTCTACACACGACAGACTGATCAGCATGTGCACCTTCAATCCTCTCCAGAGGATGGGCTTGTACAGTCTGTAGAGCATCTCCTCCACTCCCTGCTGAACTCTCTTCTGGTGGTGGAAGTAACTCAGCACCTGGCCAGGAACAGGAGAAAACAGGGGTGATGTTCCTTTGTGAACGAGCATCCAGGATCCTATTTGGAAAACCCTCTTCGCAGGACAGGCAGCCGCGCTCCCGAGTCTAACGACTCTCCCTAAGGACAGGCAGATGCACTGACAGCGTCTACACGGTCGAGCAGGTGAAGGAAGCCTGCGGCACAAATGACCATCAGGGCCTACCAACCGCCACACAACCTCATAGCCTTCAGGGTGAAATGGGAAAGGGGTCGGGCCAAGTGCTCTCCACGACCCATGGTTCTAAAATGAGCTAGCTACACCTGTTTGGGTGTAAGAGCCAGTCCAGGAGAGGCACGCATGTACCTCACCACGAGTGTCACGGCCTCGTGGCCCTTCACAGTACGAGCTTAATGCAGACACTGAGTCTCCCCAAGCCATCCGGACGATCAGAAACAAGCTGCTCTTTGAGCTTCTACTCCTTCACTCTTTTCTGCTCCTTTCTTTCACTGCCACAATCTTCCTGCCACTCTTTTAATCCTCACTTGAGGATATATGTACTGAATTTAGAGAGAGAAAAGGAGAGAGAAACATCAATTCGCTGCCTCCCCACACATACTCCGACCAGGGATCAAACCTGCAACCTAGGTATGTGCCCTGCTCCAACCAGCTGAGCCACCTGGCCCGGGTGTTCCTGCCACGCCTCAGACTCTTGTCCCCAACACCACCAAGTCTGCCTCACTTCCTTAATCCACAACTCAAGGGGCTAAGATTATATACATAAAAGTGGAAAATAAATGAAACGGGCTATAATGTGACGGCCTATACTTTAAGTGAACTTGAATCAACTTTAACCTAAAAGACCACAGTCTGAAGATTGTTTTTTCTGATTTTTCACCTTTAGTTTTTTATTGATGTGATAAGTGATATGAGTCTATAGGTTGTTTTTTGTGTACTATTATCAAGTTTGGGTATCAATGTACATATCTGCTTCACAGAAACATTTTTCAACAGCTTTGTTGAGATAATACACATATCATAAAAGTCACTCTTTTAAAGTGTACAGTTCGGTGAGTTTTAGTGTATTCAGATTGGGGCAACCACTGCTATCATGTAGCTTCAGAAGATTTTCATCATCAATGTGGGGACTTTCACTTTCCAGTGACTTCCTGAAGCTTCTTTCAACCTACCAATAAAATAACTTATATAAACATAATGTTTATCCAAAAAAGGATATGAGGAAACAACTATGTGTTATGAGCAGCGAGGACAATTACTTAGAGTCCAAGAATGCACTTCACTTGAAAAGTTAAATCTAACATTCTTCCTTTTGATTCTTTCTGTGCATTTTCCAGTAAATTTACCAAATAGTGATATCTACACGTAAAATATCTTAATCACTCACAGACCACAGCAGAAAAAACAGATATGAAGTCTTTAGTCACTTGGTACCACGAGGGAGGCACTCATGTCACAGATCTGTAGTTTAACACGATGCCACTCCTGTGACTAACAGAACCCGAGACACCAAACCACACATGTGGCCACAACAAAAGAAACCACGCTGAGCCAGGGGTGGACAGGGGGTGACTTCTGGGCTGTTTATCTTCGGATAACTCAAACTAAATCATCAATAACATAAAGAAATGTTCTCTTATCCATTCAAACTTTATATAATATTTACATTCTACAGATAATTGCAATTTCACTATTCAAAAAAGGAAAGAGGTGGCCTTTGTCCATTTAGCTTCTTGACACTCAGCTGCCAAAAGTAACAGCTGATCAATGTAATAGGGGACTTTCTAGCCCTCTTGCCGGCCGAATCCTAAGATCACCAGACACCTACCAGCATGACGAGGGCACCGACAACAGAGCCTATTTAGTGAGACCACTGACAATATAAGGATAAAATTCAGATCTAAATTCTGAGATGACCTTTTAAAAACAAAATCTTACCAAGAGAAACTAACAAAACATTATCCCATTTGGTCTGCAGAATACCAAAATGGAAATTTAACGTATAAAAGTAAATAATAAAAATCTCAACTATCATTTTTTTTAAAAAAGCGGCAGTGGCAGTTACAAAGTGATGATTCTGGACATTTTTATGACAAAGAACTTAATTAAGGTGGTTTAATTAAGTTCTGAGGCCGTAACAGTATTCCATTGCTTCCCTAATTAGAGCTTTTGGGGGAAGGATACAACTGCCAGACACTAACATCAAGATTCTGGCCCAGCCAGCATGGCTCAGCAGCTGAGCACCAACCTATGAACCTGGAGATCCTGGTTTGATTCCCGGTCAGGGCACATGCTCGGTTTGTGGGCTCGATCCCCAGCGGGGGGCGTGCAGGAGGCAGCCGATCAATGACTCTCTCATCATTGATGTTTCTATCTCTCTCTCTCTTCCCCTTTCTCTCTCTGAAATCAATAAAGACATAAAATAAAATAAAAAGATTCTGAAAAATCCCTAGAACTGACTGCCACCAAGGCTTAACTTCATTTTAAAATTTAACAAAAACAGTTACCTGAAAACGGAAACAATGAGACTGATGTTAAGAAGGCACAGTGAATGCGGGGAGACCGACGTTAGGAAGGCACAGCAAACCTGGTAGGCCACTCACCTCACGCACCCTGGAGTGCACTGGAGATCTCCGTGGAAGGTGGACCCCGTGGTACATGAAGTCCTGGATGCAGTCGCCCTCAATCGTCTGGAAAAACAACACAATGGAGTAACACTGGGGTGTATGGGCAGAACAGCAGAGCAGCAGTGGAGCACAGAAGAGTCCCATCTGTTCACCTTCTACCTCACGAGGGAGAACTGGCTCCTTCCACCAGAGATTCTGTTTAAGTGTACACCTCTCTCTAATTTCACCAAAGAGAACAGTTAGTCTCCTTTCTCTTATTTGATGAGATACTAATCTGTGACAATCGGCAGTTCAAGCCAGCAGGGCTCACAGACTGAGTGAGGCTGGGCACCCTCAGAGGGCAGGACCTTTCCCAAGAGACTCCTCAGAACTGCACTGACCTACCTCTAAGATGGGAGCAGGATTCCACATTGACTGGAATGAGGTCTTTCAGGGCTGCCACCGCAAGGGGCAGGGCAGGGTGGGCTGTGGGGAGCTTCTAGGTAAGCCAGGGCACTACGGTCCTCCAGCGGGGAGACTGAGGCAGGGCCAGCTGCCAGGAGTAGCCCAAATCCCCAAGGGACTGATCTGAATATCCGGACGCCATGGCTTTAGTTAAGGCATAGGGAGGCTTCCTACTAATGTTAACCTCTCCTCCATCACCTCTCAAGTTCTTTCCTCACCTGAGGCCACTAACAAATCCCTGCATCACCACACGTGGGAACCACACTGCCACCTCGGGATGAAGGAGATTCTCAGCTCCACCTCCCAGGACTTGTGCCACAAGCTGGGCCTTTAGAGCCACCAAGCAGAGTATGGACACTACAGAATATGGACAATAGCCAGAATGTGACCTAGCTTCTCCGATGTACCAACAGCAGAGGTTTAAAAAGATGAAAAGGAGGGAGGGACAAGCGCCCTGAGAGAGTGACAGGACGCCAGCAAATGCCACTGGGAGACTTGCTGGAGCCACACACAAAAAACCACTAAAAGACATTTTTGAGCCCTGGCCAGTGGGTTCCACTCCCAGTCAGGGCGCATGCCTGGGTTGTGGGTTTGATACCCCGTTGGGGTGCATGCTGGAGGCAGCTGATCGATGTTTCTCTTTTATATCCACGTTTCTCTCTCTCTCTAAAAGAATCAATAAAAAAATAAGTAATTTTTAAGACATTTTTGAAACAGAGATGAGAAATTTAAATATGGCTTCATTATTTTTAAGAATGCCCGCTGCGTGCGGCAGTGGCACTGTACAGCCCTTCCTAGACACACACACTGAAGAACAGACAGAAGATGGCATGTCTGAATTTGCTTTAAAAACTTGGTGAGAAGAGAGGAAACAGAATTACAATCACTGGTGCTAATCTGGCACAGACCTAGTCAAACAATTAAGTTCTTAATTATAAGTTTCTATGCTTTAAACTACTACTGGAAAAAAGAGGGACAAATATTCCTTATTGTGAGCTAGTTTCATGCAGTAATAAAACAATGCAAGAAAATGCATAACAATGCCCTGGTTTTGCCTTTTCTCCTAAAAATTAATCTATAAAACTATTCCAGAAGTTGATAATCTTTTGTTTTCTAAAAGTAGAAGTCAGTAACAAACGCCACTCACATAAACCAAGCTTAGGCAGGCAGGGGAGCAGAGTGGACAGAAATCAACTCTAGACATCAGGCACCCCCCCCCTCTGGCTGCAAACCACCCCCCACCCACCAACTCTGGGAGCACTCCTCAAAAGGAAAGACGCCCTTTTGACTTAAGGTAAAAACTTTACTCTTGGAGGAAAAGAAAACACATTGGAGAAGCTAGTATGAGAAAATGTAAGGGATACCAGACAGGTACTTTTTGACATTTTTGAATATTTGTGATTGTGAATTATACATACAGACATATCTTCATGATACAGACACTGTATGGTCATTAGAGGTGAGCCATATTCAACACAAATGTCTCTAAATTCTCAAAAGTAATGTAGTAAAAGGAGCAGCCTGTGGCTCGCACGCAGTGCTGTCCACCAGGAGCCGGCGAGCCGCAGTGGCTTCCTTCCTTGTCTGGCTTTCTCCTCACCCGAGGATATTTGCCAGCTGATTTTTCAGAGTGGAGGGGAGAGAGAAACATCGATGTGAAAGAGACACATCAACTGGTTGGCTCCCTCACGTGCCCTGACCGGGGCCAGGAATCAAGCCTGCATCTGAAGTACGGCCCTTGGCCAGACTAGAACCCAAGGCCCTTCAGTCCGAGGGCCAACGCTCTAACCACTGAGCTACACCAGCTAAGGCACAAGCACAGTTTTAAGTGTTCTAGTGGCCACGTTACAAACAGAAAAAAGAAACAGGTAAAATTACTTTAATACTATGTTTTGTTTAACCCAATGTACCCAAGCACTACTGACACTAACAGGAGCCTCTTTCGTGACCACTCAGGAGGAGAATGTAATAAAATAAGTGCTGCCTGGCTGACACAGCTCAGCAGTTGAGCGTCGACCTAGGATCCAGGCGATCAGGGTTCGATTCCCGGGCAGGGCACATGCCCAGGGTTGCAGGCTCGATCCCCAGCAGGGGGCGTGCAGGAGGCAACCAATCCATGACTCTCTCATTATTGATGTTTCTAGCTCTTTCCCTCTCCTTTCCTCTCTCTGAAATTAACAAAAATATACCTTAAAAAAACAAAAGACAAGTGCTAACGTAATGAAAATACCTCCAATATTTTCCCAGAAGCCTTTCTCCAAGCTCTGAAATAAACTTCCGCAACGTGTACCATCAAAGATCTATGAAAAAAATTTTAAAGTTAATGCAAAGAATTATACTTTTAACATGTATCATTCCAGGTTCTCCCTACCCCGGGGAAGAATCTTGGTGCAGAGTGACTGTAGACTGTCCACTGCCTCCGCAGTGAGTAGGAAAGGAGAGTTTTGAGACTGGAACTGAAGTATAAACTATTTTCTTCCTTCTCAGTCAAGACCTCCCCAGAACATTCCTATTTTCTGTGAAACTACCAGGACATAAGCCTAGAACCAAATTCTTAAATCTACATAAAATTTAAATCTAAATAAAATTGTCAAAACTTTGCAGGCTACTAATTCCCTAAAATACCAGACCTGAGAGCAGCAGTTAGGACTCCACTGGTTCCCCCAACATTGTGCAAACGAGGAAATGGAAGCGGCCTAGTGAACATCAGGCCCTTCACAGTGAGATTCCGGAGCAATTCCAACCCGGTGCTCACACTGCTGCTGGCAGAGGGTCCTTTAATGCAGCAACAAGCCCACCTCCAGAGCCTGAGGACTTGACTTTGAAAGGCAGACTAAGTGCCAGCCCCAGAGCAGATCCAGCACTGGCTCTGCAACCAGCAGGCCCTCCCCATGAGCACCCAACTCTGGGTGGGCCCTGGCGGGGGTGTGTCTCTGCACTCTCCCTGCAAAGTCACACGGCTCAGTGTCAGTAAACGGGGAGCAGGTGTGAAGTTCAAATGGTGGCAAATGTGCCACTGAGACACAGCAAGGCTTTACTGTGACCAAGCTGAGGTTTAACAGTGGAATAATTTGACTATTTAAAGAACTACCACATATTAACATCTCAATTTTAATGTCATTACTGAAAAACAATGATTTCCTATCCATGGAAAATAAAACACCCACTTACAAAACAGACCACAATAAATAACATAAGAGGTCATTTCTAAAGCTTCCAAAAGATTAATGTAACTTTAAAAAGTCAAGACAAATAGAATCTTTCAAAATCAGATTAAGGCAGCACAAAATATTACCTTTAATACTTACTTCTGTAATCCTTGTAGCTGGTTTTTAACAGTTCCATGGATCATTTTAATAAAATTTGTATTCCAATTGAAGAGAGAACTAAGAAACCTCCTTCCCTGTAAATTTAGAAAATAGGATACAATGATGAATTAAAACCAAATAAAAAGTTCCCAGTTGGTAAAAAACAAAAAATTCTTTGAATGTTTAGTAACACTGAAGTTTGCTATTCCCAACAAAGGAAGATCTGTAATTATAACTTGGAACCTGCAGACTGAAGTGAGATGGGTAAGCGGCTCCTCCTGGGTGGGACGGCCAGGGGAGCCTTGCACTAACAGCGGTTGCAGGACAGGCAGGTGGTGGCAGACGCCACCAAGCTCCTTCCTGTCTCTACTTACAGACAGGCAGTGACCACACTGCCTGCAGTAAGCTAAACGGTGTGCACACCTATTGCCTGGCTGCCACGGTGTCTACATAACCATAACAAAAAATGCTTGAAATCTTCCGTTTTGGGGTGGGAATGGAATTGAACATCAGTTCATTTCATCTTTAATAAATGAGAAAACAGATGACTTGTACATTTAAGAGGCTAAGTAGTTGCCCGGCTAGAATTTCCAAGTACATACAGTCCTCAAGTTACAGATGGCATTCACATTCATGCAATGTTAATTTATATTCACTGCTGGATCACACGTATGAGCCTAAGAAGCAAAAACATTCACCCTCTGTAGAGTGCATAAAACACACCTACCAAGGATTTCCCTGGGGACGGCACCTCCTCAATGCTCCCAGCACACTGTCTATGGAATACTATGGAAATGCAACACACATTCCCACACATGGCAGGGGAACCTGCATGCAACAGGCTAGTTAAAAAAAAAAAGTATTTACTGGAAATAACTTGTCTGTAGAGTACAAGATATTTTTTGTTTACTCAGAATGACTGAAAACTGACCTAACCAAATTAATGACTGGTTAGGAAACCAAGTTCAGATATCTTAAATTCAAAAGAGCATGCCAGTAAAAAAGTTGTAACGCTCACAGGTATATATTTGTGCCTCTGACATATACTTGCACACGTATATGTAAGTTAGACAAATGCAATTCATCAACTGCTGTGTGTAGGCCAATGAAAACAAAGTTAACATGTCTGAATCCACTCTCAGCTTCTTCACGCTCCCCAAATTTCCTGACAATCCTGGAGACTGAGGCACAGGCCGTGTGAAGAGTCTCTTCCAGGGATGACAACGCAGTAACAGCAATAAGTGCAATCAGAGCACTTCCTGTGAGCTTGGCCTGCTGGGCGCCACACTCAAGTACCAACGTGCATCATCTCCTGTGCTCCTCACAGCTCTACCCCTGCTTTACAGAAGGGAACACAGGCTGGAAGTGGTCTGGTCAGGGTCTGCCCTCATGAAGCACATGTAAAGGAACTGGACACAGCCCCTCAGACCCCAGAAGCCAAAGATCTGGGTCAGTATGGTAACTACATATGGCCCTGGCACCTGGCTGGCTGAAACCATGCACTGTGGTAAGGGCAGACCAGTCAAACCCTGTCTCTACCTCTGACTGGCTGTGAGGTCTCAAGCAGATTCTCCATGTAGAAGCTTTGAAACTGGAACTCCTCCTCCTCCAGGAAGTCTGTCCCCACCTCGCTCAGGGAGGAGCAACCACTTCCTCTTTGCCTCAAATATATGCCTGTTGGGCCACTAAACACAAAGGCTACATCCTAAACATGAGCAAGTTTGCTGTGCGCCCCTAGCATGGGAAAAAGTCACAGCTCATGACCAACTACTGAAAGGCATCATCCCACAGAGCCACGCAGGCCACGCTGTAGTTTTTAATTCTCTAGTGGCCACCTTAATAGAAGTAAAAAGAATTCATTAACTTTAACATACTTATGCAAGCCAATATATCCAAAATATCATCATTTAAATATATAATAAATATATAAAAGTATCATTATTTTTTAAAACTATATCTTTATTGATTTCAGAGAGAAAAAGGGAGAGGAAGAGAGAGAAAAAAACATCAATGACGGGAGAGTCGTCATTGATCAGCTGCCTCCTGCACACCCCCAGCTGGGGATCGAGCCCGCAACCTGGGCAATGTGCCCTGACCAAGAATCGAACCTCGATCTCCTGGATCCTAGGTCAATGCTCAACCACTAAGCCACGCTGGCCAGGCATAAATATATGAAATTAGTGAAACGTTTTACATTCTTTTTCATACTAAGGTTTTTTTAAGATTGAGAAAGTATGTGTATTTTGTAAAACTTCACCTTGAAATTTTTGAGGATCTTAATTATTTTTTTCCTCTTAACTGAAACTCAAATCCAAAGCAACAGTAATTTCAGAGCCTTTTCTGTGTCACTTTAGTGTCCCTATCCAACAGAGTGGTCTGAGCAAGTGACTTCACCAGCCCGGAAGGATGACGGACTAAGTAGGAGGGCCAGTAAGTCCCCCCACCCCGCTTCCTCCTGCTCCAGAGGTTCAGCTAGAGCACTAGAGCCCTGTGAACAAGCCTGGGCAGGGAGAGAGATGGGCCACCCAGTTGTTCCAGCCCTTTGTGCAGCATGGGCACACATGGCCACACAGCTGTGGCAGAAGAGCCAGCATGTCACACAAGTGTGTTCAATCAGAGGTTTTCACATAAGACCACCAATCACAGAAGCTGAGTCACTCCCACTCCACCCCTTTAGAACATCATTCTAAATGACATCAGGATTCGCTTCAGAACAACCCGAGTGGGGTGGGGAGGTAGGATACAAAGGATACAAGATTGGTCATGTGTTGGTATAATTCATACTAAATTTTGAATCCAAGTGTATATTATACTTAAGGTCACAATTTAACTAGCCACATTTCACGTGCTCAGCAGCCACACATGGGCGGGACCATGAGAATGGACAGTGCAGCAGAGGGCCAGAGCCTCTCTATGGATTTACTGGATGGGCAGAAAAAAAAGACTGTGTGATGGCAATTCTGAGTGTACGCCAATTAGGAATTAAGTCTGAGGGTCAGACCTAATCCATAGGGAAGAGATTTCTCAACCTTGTTTTTAATCATTGTTAATTTAAAATGCAATCAGTTTCGCCAGGATTGGCACAGCCCCTCCCCCCCATCTGATTTAATGATGAAATAAGCAATGACTTGTAAATGTTGCTTAATATTGCCAGGCAGTGAAAACACTTTGCAATAAATAGCTCTCAGTGGCTAAGATGACTCATTACCACACTGAGCACAGTACTAACAGCAACCATGTGAACTTGGAGAAGACATCCATTAATAAAAAGCAGTTCACAGATACACCAGAAAAGAAAAACAGGTTACCTCTTCTTTCTTGATGTAATTAATACTTATGAAGCACTCAAGTAGCATATTTTTAATTTCTCTACTTTCCTCTAAGTCGTAATCAAAGCAATACAAAGCTTGATGAACATGCCAAAGTCGACTTATGTCTGCACCCTAGGAAGGGCAAAAAAGAAAAAACGTGAGAGGTTTACAATAAACAGAAAGGTCACTTTTCAAAACAACTATAAGAATATTTTATATCATAAATAATTACAATTCTAGATTATCAAAAAGAAAGAATGACAAGAGAAAACAGTTAAAAATTTGCAAATGTCACTTGCAACTCTAGAGAGCACTTATTAATCCTCAGGAGGATATGTTTTTATTGATTTTTTTTTTGAGAGAGAGAGAGAAGGGAGAGAGAAACATCGCTGTGAGGGAGAAACATTGATCAGCTGCCTCCTATACACAGCCCAACTGGGGATTGAACCCACAACCTAGGTATGTGCCCTGACCGGGAACTAAACCCACAACCTTTTTGGTCAAGGGATGCTCCAAGCAACTGAGTCACCCAGCCAGGGAGAGAGAACACTTTTTTAAAACAGGAAATGCCAGCAGAGACACTGATGCCCAGCATTGTCCCCCAGTTTCCTGTGACTGAAACGTCTGCGTCTGCACTGTGCAGTGTGACAGCTGTTAGGCCATCAGGCTGTGCACCAATTGAAACATGACTGGAGCGACTGGGGAAAAAACTTTTCCTTTCCTTCACTTTAAACTAAATTTAAATTTAAGTAGCCCCATGTGACTACTGGCTACTGCAGTGAACAGTGCAGGCGTCGAACATTAGGAAGATGCAATTTAAAACCTAACAAAAATAGCCAGAAAATAGATTTTTTTTTTTTAAAGTCAATGCTGGCGTACAGATAAGTCCTGACATATAACAGGGCTTTTTGGCACTCCAGGGCCGGCAGGAGAAGTCACGTAGCCAGCTGAGGGTTCTGTCATAAAGTTGACTGCTCCCTGGAGGCCAGTGACTCTCACAAGGACTTAGGAACATGAGTAGCCCGCACTTTCCAGAGAACTGTTGGCAATGTGCATCAAGAGATGCAAGCTCAAACCCACCGACCTACAGATTTCATTTCTAGAAACCTGCCATAAGGTAGGAGAGACAAAAGGTAGGGAATGCCAGAGAAATTCCTAACTATCACTGAAGTGACAACCATCACCTTGGGGGTGGAACTGTGGGTGGCTTTATCTCCATTTCCCCTTTTCTTTATTTGCTCCATTTTCTAAGATGAATATAAGTATCTGCTGTTGCTTGACTGGGGGAGAAAGGAGTTCTTTTTCTGGACTTGTGAACTGTATGCCAAAAATTACACAATGAGAAACAGCCCAAGTTACATCCAACCCTCCAGCACACTTGTCTGTTGGTCCCCAGGCCTGGGCTGCAGTCTGAAGCAGTCCCTTTCCACTCCGACAGTGGGCACTGCACCTGGGTCAAAGGCTCTGCCTGATGACTGCCACCCCAGTCCTCCTTTGTGCACATCCCATCTGTCCTGTCCCAGCAGGAGGCCTGCCTCTGAGGACCACAAGAGCACGGAGGCTACCCAGCCTCTTGTCTCAGGACTGCCACTCCCGTCTCTCTTCCCACCTGAGCTCACACGGGCAGGCAGAATTGGAGTAGTCTCCTTGTGACCATGAAGTGACACAAGGGAGGCCAGGGCCACTCATGCGAGACAAAGGAGAAGCCACTGAAGTCAGGCCACTCACGAGCAAACACATTTCCTAACTGGTATAAATGCGCTCACTTTTTAAGTCAAGTGCACACTTAACAAGCAAACATACGGTTTTCGTCTGGAGACTCTTCCTGAGCAGCAAGGTGAAGGCCGTCTTCCCCATGTCCTCTTTGGCAGGCAGGCCCTTCTCCCACCACGTCACACACAAGCCCTGGATGGAGCTCTGCAGCTTTCGTTCAGATTCCGGTAGTGCATATAAGATTCCTAAAAGAGAGGCCATAACTGTTCCACTGGTAAGGGAAATCAATATTGGTTCAAATTCAATAGCACTGAGCAGCGATTTTCAACCTTTTTCATCTCACGGCACACAAACTAATTTCTACAATTCTGAGGCACACCAAAAATGTAATTTTTGCCTGGCATAAAAAATAGGTGTAATTTTGATTCATTCACACTGACAGCTATTGTTGTGTTGGCTGTTGTCATTTTTTTATTTGACAATCGAAGGGAACAGAAGTCAGTGCGCCCGACTCAATAGTCAGGGGTTGCAGGTTTTAAAACTTCTTGCAGCACAAGTTGAAAATCGCTGGTATAGATTCTATGGCTTATAAAGGGTTGCTAAGCAAATATTAGTTTATGTTTGACTTGCCAAAGGCTTATATACATTATTTATAGGCCACAAATGATGGTAATTAAAAAGTTGTTTTACTGCTATTATAAAGCAGATCCATTAGAAGAGAGAACTTCAGAATGGGAAGACTCAGGGGCATGTTGCCAACCCCCTCACTGAAGAGGCAGGCACTGAAGCCGTCCAAAATAGGTGCAATGACACTATGAAACAGTTCACAACAGGGTCACAGCAGGTCTGCAACCACGAATCCGCTACAACCACCCTCAGTGTGTTGGCTTCAAATTCTGGCTCATTGGTAGAAAATAGTAAAAGCAACTATTATAATAAATACAAAAACTATAGTGCTTTTATTAACAGAAAAGCTCAATAATTAAAATACTAACAATGCACCATAATTATAACCCACAGACCTCTGAATCCATCTCACTACTGCAAAACTGGAAACAAGAACAATACCAGCACCAATCATTTTACAGAAGTTATTTGGAGATGGTGCAAATAAGTAAACTGTGGTAACATTCACCAAGCACCTGGGAACTGTTTTCACACTGATTAGGTACAACTTCTTAATAAGACACCATTTCAGTGCAAGATTCTGAATACAACGTCACATGCACTACACAGACACAGGAGTCTGAGTGATGCTGAAAACGAAGAGCTTGTTGAGAAGGTGGCACACAGAGTTCCTCACAGCCACACAGTGGAGATGAGGGCACACGGGACGTTTTTCTTAAAAATCATTACTTGAAACTACTTTTATATCTATAAAATAATTTTATACAATATTTTATAATCACATCTTCTAATTAATTCAGTCTAGTGTTCCTCCTAAATTAATAACTACAGTTTTACAGTTTAGTTAAAACTTGAAAAGTACCATGCTATAAATTTTAGTATTGTATAGGAAAACTCCCCTAAGAGTCAACAATTACTCCATGGTCAGGGTCATAACATATGTAAAGAAAAAGTTCAATGTCACAAACGTTTGGTTAAATTTAAACTACCTGGCAGGAACCACCAGCTGAGAAATTTAGAATCAGGCCTTTTTCCCTTAATAAGTGTTGGTCCCTAGGTCAGGTGAGACATTCCTGGAAGCCTGCAAACAATGGCAGTCAGCTGCCCAGAAATGCACATTTGCGCCACCTGAAACATTTACATGCAGCTTAAAGTAAAGTAACTACGCAGGACAGCCCATGGAAGAACACTCTACTCCTTGTCTGCGTGAAGTGAGAGAGCCCGATTGCAACAGGGAGCCTTCGCACCCCTTCCCTTCACATCACCCCCCTTCTAAATATTCCCCACGGCAACAGGCAGCTTACCATTCAATATAACAGCACATTCCAGTAGGGCCTCATAGTTCTCACTTTCATTTATTACAGATACAGAAGCAAGAGTCACAGATGTCACTGCATGAATTATTTCTAGGATTTTTTTCTATAAAGAAAAATCAAAGTACGAGTGAACTAAAATCAATGTAAAATTCAACTTTTAAAAGAAATGTAAAAGCTACTAAATTTATAAAAGTCAGGTCACACTTCTAGCTTATTCTAAAAAGTGAATTAAAGTTCAATACAAACAATTCAGTTGTCCAAAAAGCACAGTAGCACTGACTACTAGGTTAATGATGTAGGGTTATAAAAGGGTAAAAGTACAACAAACTTCTAATACTCTTGACTTCAAATTTTAAATTTTACTTAACTTAAAATTCAACTATACACAATAACTATCTTTTAACCAAAAAAGGGAAAATATTTTGTTTCTCAAAGACCAATACTACCATTTTTGAACCATGTTCTGTTTCCATACTGTCTGTGCCCTGGGCCTCCACGGGCTGCCACCCCTCCACGGGGCTTTCTAAGAGCACGTCTGTTAATAACTTCTTGAGCCTCTGCCATAGCTCTTCTTTCTGTTTCCTTGATAATTCATCTAGTAATTCATTTAGGTTGAAAGGGTCAGAAGCATCTTCCTATAAAATAAACAGCAAGTGTTACATTTCGAACACAAAATATCAGTTCTACCCTTTTCATAAAGGCATCAGAGGAAAAGTTTAACTGCTCATGTTGATACAAGTTCAAGAGTTTGGCCCAGTTGAGGTGGCTCAGTGGTTGAGCATCGACCTAGGATCTAGGAGATCGAGGTTCGATTCCTGGTCAGGGCACATGCCCCAGGCTGCGGGCTCGATCCCCAGCAGGGGACGTGCAGGAGGCAGCTGATCGATGACTCTCTCATCATTGATGCTTCTCTCTCTCTCCCTTCCTCTCTCTGAAGTCAATAAAAATATATTAAAAAAAAAAAGTTTGTTACAGTTTTCAAAACCCATTCCCACAAGGAAGGACAGGGTCATCGAGCAGAGAGCAGCAGACCCCTCCTCCACCTATTCAGCCAAGTATCCTAATCTTCTGAGTTTAAAATTTCACCCACTTAGCAAAATCGTCCCTAAAATCAATCCATCCAGATGTCTACCATTTTCAGGCCTATAATTAGGTTACAGAAGTGTGCCAGAGCTAAAGTAACAGTGCGGCCAGGCCAACTGATTGCGATTAAGTTTCTGGTCTTCAACCCAGTGGCAGACCTCAACACCCACCTTCTAGTCACCTGTAAACATCCTTCTCTCCCCTTAGCCAATGAGATTATTTCAGAGCCCCTCAACTATCCTTAAAACCACTGTTCCAACCACCACTTCCTCTCCCTCTGAGCACGTGACCTTACCTCCTCTTTGACACAGCAAATAGAGGCCATTATCAAAGGGCAGAGAATCCAGCTTAGAGGGACTCCCTGTAGCCAACCTGACCACCAAAATAGTGACAGTAGTGAATTATAACCCATGAATAGAGTAATCATCATGGGGCCATGCTGATAATACACACATGTACACACTGGCACGTTACAGAATGCCAGTGGAAAAATACAGACGGAATATGGGGTCAGTTTTAGAACCATGATAGTAATTACTGATTCATGCAACAATCTCCAATGGCTGCTAAACCCAGTGTGTGCAAGTATGATAAGAAGTAGGGTAGTTACCTCGTCTCAACTTCCCCACAGGTCACTTATTAATTACCAAGCTTTAATGGAGAAACCTGGTGGACACCCACCCTAAGCGACAATCAAAATTATAGCACCAATAACGGGGCCTCCCCGGCACGTTTCTGCCAAAACCCACACAATGAATTTAACCAGATCATCAAACAAAGGCAAACTGAAGGATATGCCACAAAGCAGCTGCCGTACCCTTCAGGCTCTCCCGCCCATGATGGGATAGCTGGAACGAATGAAGGCACCTCCAAGAACCTTCCTCATCACGGCACCAGGTGACCCTGCGTCCACCGTGCTACCCAGATGTTGCTAACTTTTGCCTTTAGATTTTAAATTAATATTGACTTAGCTTCATCATCAATTTGGTTTGTGATTTTATTTAGCACTATGGTATGCTGTTTGCGATAATCTTAGACTTCAAACCACTCGTGTACTATGTGCCTCAGACAAATCACCTACACAGTTTTCGTATGGACACCTCTGTGGTGAGTGCAGCCTAGTTTCTGCTGGTTATTTTTGAGTTTACAGGACACCATCTTATAATACAAATCATAGTATAAGCTCATTTCCCTCACAAAGAAAAATAACTTGATGCATGTTGCTACCAATTTATTAGGTTCTTCTCTAATTCTGAGTTATCAGTAACTTGCTTTTAGTGCATTATCACGAGCCAGGTGTGCCTCTTCTGCCCATAGTCACAGTATTTGGGGCCAGTGCCTTAAACGTTGGGGTTCCTCAGAGTCCTGAGCTAGGCTCGTTTTCTCTTATTCCACTACAGACGACCCCATGACTAAGTTTCTACTGGAGCTGATGACATTCGACTTTGTCTCTAGCCCAGACCTTTCCCAGGCTTCAGACACATCTATCATCCGCTTCCTGTGCTGTCCTATTCACGTCCCCCGGCAGTCACTCCACATGCCCAAAACTGAGCCATCTTCTCCCCCAAACCTGCCCCCTGCCCAAGTTCACAACCTCACTGAATGGCTCTACAAGTCAGAAAACAGAGACCCTCCCAGGCCCCTTCCCCACCCGTGTCC